TGAAGTCAGCTGGTTTAGGTGCCTAAAGTGGTTCGTGCAGGAATGATTTTAGCGCCTGCCTTGTTCCACACAACATGGCTGGAGGAGCAGGGGGTGTCCCCCCCCTTAAATCCTTCCACACACAACAGTCAGAGGAGGTGTCCACCTTTATGATTTTTAGCCCAGTGGTTAGAACGTTCATCTAGGATGCAGGAGACCCAGGTTCAATCACCTCTTGTCTGCTAGAAAGGAGAGGGGATATGAACTCTGAGCTATAGGACATGCTGATGTGGGGGGGGGGGGGGATTATTAAGTTTTTCTCCACAGCAGAGCAGTCATTGGGCCAAAGAGGGAGAGAATAACTGATTCTGTAGCCTGGTGATTAGGGCACCCACACAGGAGGTGGGAGACCCTAGGTCCTGCCCCCTGCTCTAATCTCTCTTATTTATCCACAGTGGAACAGCTTCAACAGGAGAGACCCTACCCACTCACTTGACTGTGCTATATGTCAGTGGTTGTAGCTCTCAAGTGAAAGGTGTGGGAAATCCTTGCTCAAATCCTCTCCCTCCACTCTTGGCAGAGATGGGGGAATTGAACCTGGATCTCCCACATGCCAGATTAGTGGTTTAACCGCTGGGCTAAAAGTTGTTAGGTGGGCTCCTGATTTCTGGCCAGATTTTGAGTGGGACCCCATCTGGCAGGCTACCTCTGAGTTAGGTGGCCAAATGCCTGTCTTGCCCCTTGTTCATGAATCGTTCCGAGGCATAGGCGGGAGATACACCTCTGGACACCTAGAGTGAGGTGGCAGGGCACATGCCCAAGAGGAAGAACCTTAGGCACCTACAGTGTTTGGCAAGAGTTTTGTGAGTTGCAGTGAAGCCTCAAAATGGAACTTATGTGCCTAAGTACCTTTGTGGATCCACCTCCTTGGAGGCCAAAGTGCAATCAGCATGACAGCCCTCTCCAAATTTAGGTGGTAAGATGTACCACATATAGGTAAAGCTGCAGTAGGAATCTGACCAGACACAACTGCAAGCCTGGGCTTCTCTAGGTAAGCAATTAGCCAATCCCCATGTCATTGCTTCTATTGCTCCCTTTGGCACTCTGTTCCTGAGAAGCAGTGAAATGGCATATTCTAGATACCAGAAGGAGGCTCTACCATACAGATTAACAGATGGGATGTGCAGAGACAGCCACATCCCTACTACCAACTGTCCATTTGGAATGAGTGTGCCTGTCCAAGATTGAGTGGATATATATTGTATATAAAACTGTACTTGTTCTCTACAGGATCTGTGTACACAGTTAAACCACATGCAAAGTACAGGCTCATCCTCTTGAAGGATGAGCTGTGTGTGACATTCCCGTTGAAGTATTCTTGAGAAGGGAGGTGGGGATTAGCTAGTCTCCTGTGTGCATGGCCCACTGTGCTTCCACAGCTTGGTTTTTCACATTGTAATTCATGGTGAGAAGATGGTACGGTCATTAAGCTTTGAAGTATAATCGCTTATTAGATACATGGCAAAAGTTTTTTAAAGGCTTCAATATCCTTAAAAGCACAATGTCAGTGGAGGTGATATCTGTGTTCCCAGGCAGTAGCTATCTGTTTACTGAGATGGTACATTTATGGGCACTCCATGGAATAGTGCCATTAGTTACCATACAAATCAAGGAATTTCAGTTACAAACAACCTCTAAGGTAATAATAGCTTCCATTGCATGATCATTTTGCATCTTTAATGTTCCTGAAACTGTCTTCCAAAAATTGCTTTTAAATTAACCAGAAGCATCATGAGAATGAAGATGTCAAAAGGACTTTGTGAAAGCTCACAGTAGAGCGTAATAAAACTGTATCCCTGCAAATATAAAAGGTTACTGCTAATTAATTACACTACTCTGTGTTGTACTCCGCTATTCTTGTTAAATAATTGATGCAATAGAAAAGATGCCACCTAATGGACTCAATTCTAAAAGCTCTCCCTGCATTCAGCTGCCATTGATTTTTTTTTATTATTTATTTATGTCAATCTGGCACCTATTGTACCCATGACCCTGATTGCTGCAGTATGTGAGCACCTGACAGTCTTTAATTATTTATCCTCACATTACCCCTGTGAGGTAGGGAAATGCTAGCATGGCCATTTTGCAGAGAACTAGGATACCTATCATCTATTAAAATCATGAGAGTTGGTACCAAGCTGCTTTTGAAAATCCCACTAACGGCTAGATTCACAAAAGGACTTAGGTGCCTAATTGCCACTTTTAGATGCCTAAATCCCAGAATTGGACCCCGCTGGGATTCACAAAACCCCCATTCAACAGCCACAGAACCCTGTAGGTGCCTAAGCTTGCTCAGCATCTACATTTTGGCAGTTCCCTAAGCATCTATGTTTCTGCCTCCTCGTACCAGTAGTACTACTTGTCTTTTCAAAACTGCTTAGCAAGGATGCTAATCCTCCTCTGGTGTTAGCACTGTCTTCTGATTTTTCCTCACAGAGTGTTCCTCTACTCCAATTCTAAATAGGATTTTTTCACTGAGAGTTTGTTTGGGTTTTTTTAGTCTGTCCATTTTCCTCTGAGATTCTGTTGTAATATAAAATTAATTTGCAACTATCAAATAGTCTTGGACCCAGAAAAGGTTTGCTTAGCACAGGACCCAGGAGGCTCTAAACAGAAGTGGAACAGAGATTTTTTTATGACTTGCCCCAAATCACTTGTAGAGTCAGGGTGAGAACTCAGGAGTCCTGACTATTTCCTTCACTAACCATGGACCACATTCTCCCTCCCCAGCACAACCTACATGAAGTCAAAAGATTCACGTGTCTCCATTGCTTCTTATTAACATAATGGAGTTGCTAGAGGCTGGACAGCCTGCTCTCTGCTTCTCTGGGTGCTAGAAGTGCTTCAGCAGACTCTTGGCAGTCTTGCCTTGGATGGACTGACTGCCAATGGCATTTCCCACTCGTTTCTTTAAATGCTCTCACTACGTTGTCAACAATAGTGGAAGGTCCTAATCTGTTTGGAAGAGATCTTGAACAGGATTGTATCAGGTTTCACATCCAGGGAAAATTGATATTTCTGTGTCTGCAAAATTGTCTTTTTTGAGCATTATTAGCTGTGAAGCAAAAATCCGTCATTTTTTTCCATACTCTTTTCCTACGTCTCTGATGGGATGGTACCAATTCTGTTTCATTTTAAATTATATAATCTAGGGTATAATTTTCAAAAATGCCTGAGGGACTTGGTCACTTTTTTGAAAGTTTTAGCCCTAGGCTATGGGGAAAATGTGAAACAAAACAAATGAAGATAATTGAATAGAATTTGGAAACCAGTTCATTTAAAGATAATTTTTGGTTTAAGAGCATAATAGTTATCCTCTGAGGAGGTGTAATCAAAACACAACATACTTTCACCATCATGTAGTTTCCAAGGCCAGTCTAGGTAATGCACAATGACAATAACATACCAGACTCCTTAATAGCTGTTTCTTACCTTTATGTGAAATATAATAAATGTTTAACACATCACTTTTCTTCTTCAAACATTTTACAAATATTAACTTATTAGCATCAAAGAACAGAATGAATCAGTATCTATTATAATATACATAGGAAATATCTGACATAACCAGTCATTCCTACCAATATAACCAATCTGATAGGAATACAAGCATATCTGTATTATGTTAAAATATTGGGAAAGAATGTGAAAACCAAGATATATAGGTACTGTAACTTTCCACGTATATGTGATTTTCATACAGGGAGCACTTCTGTGTTGAGACCCAGCAACACTTTGTTCACGTGGACCCGCATCCCATCTACTAGAACAAAATCTTAAAGAAGACTATCTAACTAATACATGTAGAAGACACCACTAGCTGTACTTTATTTAAGTGTGTGAGGTATGAGAATGTGTATTCATGAGCAAGAGATCTTGAGCACTTGTAAAAACAGAATATTTGGCTTGGAGGACACTTCATGTGACAGACAAGAAAAGTTTTCAATAGGGACTAAAGTTATTTTATTTGGAGCATACTGTATCTAAATATTTCATTACAGAGGAATATGACGAATATAAACTTGTTGAATGGAATCTGTTTCCATTTCTCTGCCCTCTGTCAATTCCAAGCATCATTCAAACTGCCTTGCTGTTAACAACATAAGCTTCCACATTCTGTAGGTGATGAAAAATGAAGTATTCAAACACTGAAAGGCACCTCAATTGACATAGCTTCTTATCTTTTTTTATTTACAGGACATCACTTGCACAAAAGATTCAGGGTGAAGTGAGAATGAGGAGCACACAGTGAATACACTCATCAACATAAGAATAATAATTAAAAAAATAAAATGATAGGTCTGGCATATGACAGTTCCTTCACCAGCCCTTGGTAAATTCATGGTGACCCCATTTCCTCTCATTTTCCACCTCTAGGGAAAAGCCTGCATCCTTCCTGGAGTGTGTTCTCAAGCCAGCAAGCTCTAAGAAGTCATCTTTAAGGACATTTTAAAAACTACTTAACCTAGCACAGTCTCTTCTCCACAAGGATAATCCACTGGCTATATGAATTGTTTCTTACCAAGACAATACTTCCAGTCCTTGGTAGGGTGTGGTTTTTATTCACCACCAAGAAAGTGTCCCTCAGCAACATCCATGTTAAGTTCCTTTGGTGACAAATTTCCATTCAAGTCACAAGGTTCACAAATGAAAACCTCAAGTGTCCAGCATAAAAATTTCAAAAGAGCCTCACTGTCAGTATTACAAATTAATCACCCATTGTGTATATGCACACACATACTGGAAAACGATGCTTATTGACAAGCTTTAACTTTGGGTAAGAAACTTTACCTCTGCTGAAGTTAGCAGGTTCACTTTCCATCATAAGTCTCCCGTTATCCAGAACTGAATGTGAATTCCATTACACATTAGCTGTGATTATCGGTTTTGAGGGGAAAAAAGGTGTCTTTGCATAAGCAACATTAAAAACCTGCAGTATAGAAGCATTGGCTTTAGATAGAGGCAGAATGCTTCTCTGAGTACAGGACAGTTTCCTCCCATAGTACCTGACAGGTTAGAACACAGCAGATCTGATATTTCTGATTCTTCTTTTCGTTACCAAAAAAAAAAAAAAAAAAAAGAGAGAGAGAGAGAGGAATGGGATGAGAAAAGCCAGGAGGCATGACTTACACTAGAATGTCACTTCTCTTACTGCACCACACCACTAGAGATATCATGGTAACCATCAGAAATACTGGGATTAAGATCAGAGTTATGAGAATTTCATCCGGTGGATCTTCCCAGTGGACCTTTTCTGATGTACAGTTTGAAAAGAATTGTTTATGAATTCCAATGATGAAGCCCTGTGCGAGTCGGTTTGGCCAAAAGCATCTCGCGGCGATGGCTTCCCGTTCTGTGCAGAGGCTGAAGTTGTCGTAATACCTAGAGAGAGAAGAAAATCGAAGTAAGTCTGAATAAAAAATTATTTTGTTTCTCTTTAAAAAAATTAGTCTGATGTAATTTTGGGGGTTTTTTTAGATATTTCAGATGGGCTGTAAATAGATCTTCTCCTTGGTTTTCTCACCAAATAAAAAACCTTTTGGAATTCCAGGTTTTTTTGTTGTCTAAAACATGGTTTATCAAATAGTAATTTTATTTCAGTAACTATGGACAACATTTTGGCATTTGCAATAAAGTGTTATTGACATTGCCTTTGTATAGGATCTTTGTCTGATAATCTGTTCAACCTCATGGTGTTTTTCATTTGATTTGTACGGTTTTAGTAGAATTGACAATGGTTATCACATGTCTAATGTAGATGATTGTACCTACAGAGTAGATACTTCTGCTGAAGGAAATAAATTGAATCTCTGGGTGTTCAGCACCTTGGAAAAGCAAGCAGTGTGCGACTTGCCAGAGATGACAAAGTGAGTCAGATACAGTGTAGTTGTAGGCATGTTGTTCCCAGGATATTAGAGAGACCACACGCACCTTGTCACAACAAGTCAGAGGCAGAGTTGAGAATACTCTATTCCTAACTCCGAGTCCTCCGCTCAGGCTTCTAGACAAGCTGAGTAAAATCCTGGCTCCACTGGAGTCAATGGCAAAGCTCCCAGTGATTTTAATGTGGCCTGTAGTTCACCCTCTCATTTTAACTCATGTAGAATTAGAATGCAGTTCCCTTGGCAGAGGTATCAACAATACCCATAAAAATCAAATGTGGCAACTGCAACAAACTGTGAGTGAATTATAAATAATTCATGCGTAGTCTGTTGTTGGGGAGGAGGCTGAGGCCAAGTGCAGTCCCAGCATGAGATCATGAACTGCTGAATAATAATTTCAGTCCTGCTGTGCATGGATGCAATAATCAGAGAAAGGGCAAATAAAAATTAAATAAAGCATTCTTTTTTTTAATCTTAACCTTTCCCGCATCAGAGTTAGACTCTAATGCCTGTCTACACCCTTAAGAGAGATCTGCTACACCCAGTAGCACATAGCACTTAATCTCAGCACTGTAGAGCATACAAAACGATGCACATAATGTTCAAAAGTAACCAAAGTTTGTATTTATGAGTACAGGCTATGCTTAGAGCAAGGAAACGATAAACTAAATTGAATAATTTGATGGATTATTGTGATGGGATCATGAGCCAGCGTGATTTGGAAAGGGGTAGAGTGGTCAGAGGTAAGAGGAAATTAAGAAATTGAATTGGGTCTGGACAGCATATAGAGAGGGAAAGGAAGGAATGATTGTCTGTTGTACTTTGCAATGTTCCCTTCAATGATGAGTGACTTAGTAAAACTATTTCAAAGGGAAGGAGAGACCACCTGATGCCTTCAGGGACAGCATGCTGCACTATTGTCAGTGAGCCCCTGCCTCCACCCAATATATGAGTACAGTAATTGCCTTTGAATGACACATTTCCTGCAATAGGAAAATAACGCCCCTGGGAACTGATGGTGACTCAATCCCAGGTTGTGAGGTAGTGGAGGTGAACCACCCAGCATTGGGGTCAAGGATTGCACTCCATTGTATAAGGATTGATATTGCCATGCTATTGCCATGTAGGGGCAGAACACTGCATGGATAAGGTCTATGGCTACCTTCTTAATGTCATGTGCATAGGAGAAAACAGCGGCTTCGTAAAAAGGCACAGGTCAAAGTCCCTACCCCATCCCCTTCCTACTGGGGCTGGCATAGTTTCTAAATCACTGCCTGTAGCTTCCTATGCAAACACCAGGTCATTTAAGGGCCAGTGTAAGACCACACCCAGATGCGCTGGCACATCACCACTAGCATGAGAATGTAGGCAGTGGTTCTCAAACTGTGGGTTGGGACACCAAAGTGGGTCACAACCCCATTTTAATGGGGTTGACAGGGCCAGAATTAGACTCACTGGGGCCTGGGGCTAGCCAAAGCCTGAGGGCTTGAGCCTGGGGCAGCGGGGCTCTGCCCCGCGCCCCCTTCTACCCCCCCCCCACCCCCTCCCACACACACACAAATACACACGGAGCGGCAGGGCTCACCCGGGGTCATGTAGTAATTTTTGTTGTCAGAAGGGGGTCGTGGTGTAATGAAGTTTGAGAACCGCTCAGTAGGGTATACAACCATTTTAAGAAGAAAAAGGAAGCTTTTGTGATGGTCAAGAGCAGCAGGGGACTAACAGTAAAGAAGTTAAAAATAAAACACAAATAATATCCTCTAATTATTTTAATAGTGACCTTCAAACATTCCAGTAGTTTCCATCCTTTACGTCCTGGACTACATTAGAATCTAAAGAGGACTAGCTGTATATGGGAGAGACATTCCCAAAGGACTTGAAGAATAATACAACTCAGTTGTTTTCCCCTGTCTGACTACGCTTCAATGCACCTTCTGAACAATAGAATCCCTAATGGAAAATGGTAGAGAATTTAATAGGGATGAGACCAATAGGATTCTATAGAAATTCAGTATACTATAGAAATGAAATAGATATCCATGGATAGTAAGGATGCTTCTAGAGAAATTACTCAAAAATCCTGGAGATTATAATAATAATTTTGTATATTGCATATATCTAAAAGCACTTAAAAGAGGGCAGGATCATTATCCCTATTTTACAGATGAGGAAGTTGAGGCACTGTGAGGTTAAGTGACTTGCCTGAGGTCACCCAGCAGGCCAGTAACAGAGCCAGGAATAGACGCGTGGTCTCAGATCCTTAAAAGTACTGCAGTGATGCTCCACTCAGTGCCCTACTGCCTAGTGGAATCATCAGCCCTGAGTTAGGCCCAGGCTGCTCAGACAAATTAGCCACATAAGGAAGGTATCCTTTGAAGCCAGCAAGCTGAGCTGTGAATCACCGCAGATAGCAGGGACTGAAATGGCAAGGAGAGGAATGGGGTGAAGAGAGGGGCTTGGGTGCCAAAGCAATTGAAAAAAAAAAAAAAAAGCCACGATCGGCGGCGGCAGTTCGGCGGCAGGTCCTTCGCTCCTAGAGGGAGTGAGGGACCTGCCGCCCCCGAATTGCCGCAGGTGCCGCCCCTCTCCCTTGGCCGCCCCAAGCACCTGCTTGTTAAGCTGGTGCCTGGAGCCGGCCCTGGTAGACAGCATTTTGAAGTTGCAGCTCAGGCTCTGAAGATTAGGGACAGTGATGGGCTCTAGAGCCCAAGCTCCAGCCTGGGCTGCAACTTCAAAGTGCTGTCTACACAGCAGTTTTTAGAGCACTAGTGCGAGCCCCACTAACCCAAGCTTGTCAACCTGGGCTGGACGCAGTGTAGACATACCCTAAGGGGCCAGCCTAGTGTGCCTGGCTGATGAACCAGAGATAGGTGCTTCCCTCTGCTTGGGATCTTCAGTCACAAACCCTCTCATGGAGTTGGGTGTCTAAGCCAGGTCTGCTGCTTAGTTAGCCTATGCCCAAGCAGCCAAAACCATGTCTCTTTCTCTCTAACTCTGGCCCTATGTTTCCATGTGCCCCCATGTGTCTTCTGCGCAGGAGCTGTGCTCCGCAAGCCCCACATATTGATGACCTGCATTCTTCCCTCCTGCCGTGAGCTCTGACAGGTATCAGGCTTAGGTAGTTGTAGAGCCTACCTATGGGATCAGGTCCCATTAGCAGAACTGTTGTTCCCCCGCCTAGTTTGAGATTCCACTTTGGGATTTTCAGGGCTTTGGCTTGAGTGGAGACTCTGAATTGCTTGTTACCAGCAGGGCAATCTCAGCACTTAGGTGGCTTTACAAATGCCAGTAAATTTAAACTTGGGCACCTTGGGGACTTAGGCACCTCTGGGATTAGGCAGCAGCTGACCTGTGGTTTTGAAAATGTCAATGGCAACTTAACGGAGGATTTAGGTGCTTAATGAGGCAGAAAGGTGGCTAAATACCTGGAAGGATCTGGGCCCCAAGCCGTATCCATTGGGCTACGCACTGCCTCCTAATAGACAATAGGACTTAATAATAATAATTGAGGTGTGCAGGTATGTGTATGTATAATGAATATAAATTATTCTATAAATCTAAGTACTATATTCTTACCATCAAATTCTACAGGATGGCTTACAAATTCTGTAGAAAAGTTATCATTCTTTTATAAGTTCCGTAGGACTTTTTCACTACTGTTGGCTGATTTCAGCACAAATTGACCCACTGCTTTTGTATTTGAAGTCTAGTACAGTCCAAAGAAATTGAATTAAACAGCTGCCAAGTTCTCCCAAATAGTAAGATAAAAATAATTAGGTTTGGTATAGTGTGTTCAAAAGACTGAATCCCTAAAAGCCAATCCATACCCACACGTTATCGTAAGTAGAATTCTGCAGAACATTTACTTAACGCCTCATGCCTTAAAATACTAATGTTTTACCTACATTATAACTGCTTTTGAAACACATAATTGTGAGACTGAAGATAAGGAAAAATCTGAACTACTTGAGAACTGTGTCTGTGAGTAATGCTCCATTAACCAAAATACTTGTGTATGCCTTCACGAGAAACTGCATATTTTGTCACATTTGAAATTATTACCAATATATGCTAGCAAACAGCTTTTCACAGCAACAAAAATTGCCAAATTCCTCCTTGGAATAAATTGTAAGTTCTCAGACATTTGCCATATTCGTAAAACAATTCTATTATTTTCAGAGCACAAATAGCTTTTCTTTTCCTTCACTTGAGGCTTTCCGGAAAACAAAGAATAATTCAGATCACAACTGCAATGTGGTTTATTTTTTGAAAGACATGTGATGTGAAAACATGAATTTTCAGTGATTTTTTTGCCTGTGGTGAAATTTTAATGAATATTCATACATGCAGTCTCAGGTTGCCGTTTAACTTATCTTCAATGGTGCAGAAATGTGCATTTGTCCTGATAAGTGTTCTCTGGAACCTCCATGCAAAGGAATAGAAGATCAGGATGTGTCACGTACAGTACTATATGTCAAGCCACATCAGACAGATCCATAA